CACACACACACACACACACACACACACACACACACACACACACACACACACACACACACACACACACACATCACCGTTCAGTTCTGTCCACACACTCTGATCTGACAAACACAGGTCTGGTTACCTCAGGGCACGACGAGCTTGGGTTTTGAGCCTGCAGCCGCTTTCTGAATGCAGTCTGCGCACTTTCTCCATACTTTCGAGGACTTCCTCTGTTGCCGGCACTTTCCTCCCACAGACAAGCAGCTGAGCTCTTGGGACTGATCCGGCTGCTGATCCGAACAGGGGGGCTGGTCTCAGAACTGGAGTTGGCCCCCGAACGTGGGGCTGTGATGGACCACAGCTCCTGAAACAGAGGTGAAAAGCAAAGGAATGAGGAATAACTGGGTGCAGTTTGTTTGGAAAAGACATCTACTCTTTCATGTTTGCTACCATTAATACATCAGTCTGTCTTGGATCTATGTCCACATGTAAGCTGATGAAAACTGTTATTAATAAAAAAAAGTGCATTATCAAAACTCCTGAAAATAAGTGAACTGCTGGGCCCTGACTCATTTTTTAGTTTGCAAAATTACTGATGAACAACTTTTCAAATTTGAAAGAACCTTTTAGGAAGAACATTTCTGAAATAGTTACACAGCCTGAACCCAACAGAGCATCATGCTTACTATTTTTAACGATTTTAATTTTTTGAAATAAAAGTGTCAAAGTTTGCAAGATTATATGAAATACAGTATTAACATTACATGTTTATAGAACACTTTTACAGATATATTCAAAATCTGGACTCTTAAGTGTAACTTTATTATTTATATGTTGCTATATTTGCAGCATCTGTATTTTCTCCTGGTTGTGATTTATGTGAGCTTTCCAGTTAAGCAATGAACTTTTTCACTTCTTTGAAGCAAAAACATAACGATTAAGTCATTTAATTTGAACAAATTTAACTCCAGTTTTAGGCAAATAAATGGTTTAAAAATGTAAAGCATTACATCATTCATCTGCAATGTACGCTTTTGCAAACCATGCAGATGAAGAGGTTTTAAATTCATTATGCTCACATTTTTATTTTTGTTTGTTTTGCCCTCCTGCCTGCGAATTTTCATCACTCAGCGCTGAAGTTTGCTGGGAAATTGAGCGCGCAGCGTGTGCTTTGTAACACAGTAATTCAGTATTCATACAGAGGAGCTCCTCCAGCTGTTTACCTCACACTCTCTGGTCTGCTCCCATTTAACTGAAACAGACAGTTCATCATTTATCAACCCGAGTTCACTCTGCAGGAACCCGAGGCCTCCGAACACCGAGCCCACCTCTGCCATCAGGTGGTCAGAGAGGTAATCAGATTCTCCTGATCTCTGCTTGTTCTACTCAGTTCTTTATAATATAAAACCACACACACACAGACACAGACACAGACACACACACACACACACGCTCATTCAGCTTGTCTCCTCGTCACATTCATATCTGAGGGTTGAAGCTCTTGACTCCGGAGAGTTCACTGGAGAGATGAGATGAGTGGGGGATGAGAGCTGTGGTTAATGGTCCATGAAGTACACACACACACACACACACACACACACACACACACACACACACACACACTGCTTCTCTTCCAAACACACCTGAGTCTCCTCTAAGCAGCCACCACAGAGGGAATGCAGCATTACAGCATAAATGAGTGTAACCATATAAACATCGGACAAACAGGAGGGGGAAAAAAAGAACGTACCTTTTGCAACAACTGAGATCCAGAATATTTTGCAGAAAGCGATTTAATTTCTCCACCAAATGCAGAGGCCCAAAGCTTTACTCTGAAAGACAAAAACCGGTTAAAACTCATGAACAAAAAAGAACACAGAAATCTAAAAACGAAGCAACTTAATCAAAAAAAAAAAAAAAAACACCTGATGGATGTTAATCACTTTTATGTCTGTCATGTCCTGATGTTGAACTTTCTACATGTTTTCACTGACACCATGAGTCAAAGCATCCTCCCCCTGTCCTCACCTGACAAACGGTCTTAAAGGAGGCAGAATGAGCTTCTAAAACTAAAGGACTTAAATGTGAAACTCATGTCAGTGTATGAAAAACTTGGAAATTGGAACTTATAAAATAATTTATCATAAAGTTTTTTTCTTTTATTTTTTTTTTGTGAAAAATAAGCTGTTTTTGGAGGCAGTAAATATTTTGTTCTTTGTTTGCAGAACTCTCGCGTTCACCGTGAAATTTTCAGAGAGTAAATTGAATTTTCCTGCTGAGGTTTGTTCAGGATTTTAAAAGGTGCGCATTGCAGCTGTTTGACACCTGAGCTTTAACAACACAGTTATGACCTGAAGTGAAGCATGGTTTGGAAAAAAAAAATTAAACCCTTTCATATGAATGAAAAATGTTGACTGTAGGACTACATCAGAAAAATAAACTTTGTATTTTACATGTCAAAATAAATTAAAGAACAAAAAGTAAAATGCGGTTTTTTGTCTCCAAATCAGGTGTCTTAATTTGTAGTTTTATGAAAGATAAATTAACTAAAAGAACCCTTTTTGTACATTTTGTTTTCACCACAAACAGCAACTGCTGAGACTTTTTATTTTTATTTTACATAAACATCTGAGGTTTTCTTAAAGATAAAGTGAACTAATTGATAACATCTGAAGAGAAACTGCTTTTTTATTTTGGAGTTCCGCTGCTTTCATCCACATTTTCATCTTTATCAAAATCTGCCTAAAATGACACCTTTAGTTTTTACATCTAGATTAGCTGACAAGTTGTAGATAAATTATTAAATCTGTGTTGGGACAAAAATATCTAAATCAGACAAGTTCTTGGATCTGAATCAGCAAATCAGAAATGTTCTGCCTCGAAAACATTTTTAGCTCCTAAAAAAAAAATGACGTTTTTAAATAAATCTTATCTTCTCACTCACACTGACAGAGGAATCCCTTGCTGGGACCCCGCAGACCCCTCAGACCAGTTTAAGCCGATGGAGATCCAGAGCAGGAAGAAGCTGCTGCTGCTGCACGTGWGCAAAAAGGGAATCCTGCAGTTTCCCTCCATCTCCAACTCTGCTGAGCAAACAGGAGGTGTGCGCCGTCGAATCCCGGTCCGAGCGCAGAACCTCCGGGTCCGACTCGGCTCGGCTCCCCGTCCACTGGATCCGAGTTTGTTTCAGGAGGAGAGAGAGAGAGAGAGAGAGAGAGAGAGAGAGAGAGAGAGAGAGNAGAGAGAGAGAGAGAGAGAGAGAGAGAGAGAGAGAGAGAGAGAGAGAGAGAGAGACCTGGTGCAGAAATCTCAAAACCTGGAAACGCGTCGCCTTTTCTCTTTGTTTGCAGCTTTGAGCGACAGATGATCGTTTCTGGAGACAGTTCAAAGGCTCCATCTGTTATGAACAGGAAGATAGAGCAGAGAGCTGCAGAAAAATAAAAATAATCCAAATAAAAAACAATCACAATAACTGCTGACCCAACAAAATAACTATTGTTCCCATCAAAGCTGCAAACACTTTGATGTTCAACCTGTGACAGCGCGCTTTTTTTTTTTTATTTCCCTGACATGCAGCCATGAGTTACAGGTTTTGCAGAACATCTGTTTTTCTGTGCGTAAAGTTAAAACCGGAAGCCTAAAAAAATGCYCCAAAACAGGAATCCCCACCACATTAAAACGACTCAGTGGGAGTTAATGAGACTGCAGATGTGTGGAGACTTCCGCACTGCAAACAGTCACAGAGGAAAGCGAGATGTGGAGAAAAAAGAGAATTAYAGGGAAACCCGTGTCACCTCAGCCACCAAAACCCCGACGATCAGAAAATGATAAAGAGCGACAATAAACTTTGCGCATTTGCTCATGATTGGCTGAAGCCTGACTTCATGTCACCCACCAGCAACTTTTCCACATTTCCACCCCCCACCCCCTCCGGGTGATGTCGGAGCAGCAGCAGCTCCTTCTGCCGCAGAGCTGCAGCTCCTCATGGATGAAAACAGTTTTTGCGGCCCTCATTATWCAATCAGACCGGAAGTCGTCCCCACAGTCCTGCACTGTAAACGCTGATTAGGAGGCGATAATGATCTCAGGCGGGTTGATGCAGCGCGCGCCGAACCCCACCACCCTACCCCACCCACCCCCTCCTCACCATCACCTCCACAGGAACCTTGTTTCGACTTGAGGCTTTTATTAGTTTAGTAATTGCGTCGTACATCACAGTTGTGAGGGGCCCTCGTGCTGCCTGGACCTGCCGATAAGGAACCGCGCGCGCTGGATGACGGACAGTATCATCCAGTGTCTCCTCTGACCGGCGGCCCGCGCGCGACCACYACTCCCAGAATGATTTCATTAACTAACTAACTAAATAAATAACTAAATAAATAAACAGAAGTCTGTCGTCACAGCGCTGAAGCCAGTTTTCTGTCAGAGATAAGACTGCGACACTAGTCCTGCTGCTGATGTGTCCTTGAGCAAACCATCGGGGGGTGAGTGGGTGGGGGTCTACAAGCTTATAATGGACACACAAAGCTGCAGGCATGTTTCTCCTGGATGTAGCTGTCTGCTACTGTAAGAACAGGTTCTCAGGGTTTTTTTTTATTTGTGACATTTTTTACTTAAATTGAACTGAAAAAATAAAACATTAGAAAACGACAGTGAGTTGCATAAAATCACTTTTAAGGTCTGTTTGTTCAGTTTTGTTGTAAAGTTTGTGAATGGATTTAACCCAACCTGATTTTATCTTCAGATTGAGTTTTTAACTTTAAAACATGAGTGAATTTGTSGTTTTCTTCAGTTTTCTGCAATAATTTTGAGCATTAAATATTGAACATGTGAGCACCTTAAGCTTTTATATTTCTTGTTTATTTGCTGGTCTTATTTATTATATTTCACTTTTACATGCACTGCCGGCCAGTAAAGGCCTTTTGATTCAGTCTAATCATCAGCTGCAGTGTTTCCATCATTGCTGCAACTCCATGACCTGCTAAAATGTTCTTTTATTTTTTAGATCACAATAACTTCTTTATTTGAGATGAAATAATTACCCGAGTTGTTACTTTTCTGTAGCCTCCAGCTCTGCTGTCAGTGAGGTAACTCTTGTAGCTGACAGAAGAAGTTTAAGGGGTGAAAATGTGCACAGATTAGAATGTTTTAATCTGTTCAAATTAGTATGTTTTGATCTGTCCTGTTTGTTCAGTGTTGTAATCTCAGCTATCTACGCTAAAAAAAAAATCACTTTGACAGTTCTTATATTTTTTGTTTCAGGCTCTTATCTGTTAGAATTTGTTTTCCACATGCTCGAAAAAGACATATTGCACAATGTATTCACAATTGTAACTGTGCTAAAAAACTGAATTGGTGAATAGATTTTTTTTTTTTACAAAGACTCTTGAATCATTCAAACTATAGRGCCATTTGGAGCAATTGTTCTAGACTTTTGGTGACTCACACTTCATTGTTTTATGATTTAAGAGTCTAAGTTTAAGAGTCGTTCGACTCTTTTCTCCATCCAAATATTAAATTTCTGCTTTTTKATTCAAGCTACAAAATACCAAACACTTTCTTCCTTGCAGCACCAATTCAGGCCTTTGATTATTTTTTCTTCCTGATCTCTGTATCTGCAGATGTTCTCTCTGCTGCCCCCCTTCATACTCAGAGCTCCAGTGATCATAATGTCCATCATGCAGAAGCAGCTGTTCATCCACGCTCTGGTGAACATGACAGTGGTTGATCTGGACACAGCCATGACTGAAGGAGTCCTGTCTGCGGTCAGCGTCTTCCTGGGCAGAACCAGCCGTGTGATGGAGGGCTTTGGGTACTGTGGTGAGGGGGGGCAGCTTGTACAAAATGCACAGATACATTAAACAGCTCTTTTTTAATTTAAAAGGAGTTCTGTTTTCACAATAAATTAAATGTTTCCTCCTGTAATTATCACCTCTCTGTCCAAAGTTGGTTATTATATGAGGTTTTGCAAATATCACTAATCTCTTTTGGAATGATAAGTAAAATGCAAGATACAAACTGGCAAGAAAAGCTTACACAAAAATCCAATTTAAATTTATTTTGATCAAAACAAATGTCTGACATGGCTACAAAAACACAACTGAAGGTTTCATACGGAGCAACAAAAGAAGAACCAGCTGAGAGCACAAATCAATTCAGGGACAAAACTGGAGAGTGGACCAAAGAAGGCTGGTGTTGATGAGGCAGATTAGAAACACCTGCACATGATGATGAAACGGAACAGGTAAAAGTGGGCAGGGKCTTGTTTGGTTTACCTGCACAAAGAGCAGGATGGTGTATAACTCCATTATCTGTCTCAAAAAGCGGTGCTGTAACACCACACTTATTATTCTGTTAGATTTGGATTAGAGGGAATTTAAATCAGGTCCATCACTGTTGTTTTAAAACTGTACATTACTGCCACCTAGTGGCAACAAAATATATCACATATTCACCCAACAGCTTGTTGTTACTGATCTGATACCAGAACCTTGAATAAATAAAATGAAATCATCATAATGCTAACACTGAATACATTTTTATGACCTTTGCATGATTTTTTTTCTTTTTGGTTTATTCAAAAACTTTAAACCCAAAACAGAATTTTGTCAGATATAAAAACATTTTAATATTGACTGTCGTGATTGGATTTTTTCTGAAAAAGTGCTCAAAATGATCACTTTAATTCAAATGAAAACAAATGAGAAAATTTTTTTTCCAGACCGTGTTCAGAAATTACAATATAAAAATGAGTA